ACTCATAGCGACGTATACAACGCGCGTAAAATACATTGTTTATTTACATGAAATTCGAACACGCGCTGCTCGACGACCACCGCGCTTTAATTTCATTTTAATAGCCGTTCCTAATTTTTTGTTCGCGATTGATTAAGACTCAGTCACCGGTTAGAACAAATAGACTATGCTTCAGGCAAATCTTTAATTTCGTAAAATGGAGATAATATTATCCCATTGTACAAATATCTAAATACAGCTACAGTCCACGCTTGCGAGGATACATATTAAGGAAATCATTTACAAAAAAAAATAACATATAAAACAAATATTCTTTACACATTTGGTAGATGACCGAGGGGGTTACACCACTCCGGAAAGAATTGTTTCACTTTTTCCTCATCAAGAGTTTCTAATGATCGCCCATAGGTAACATGCTAATGGACAAATGCGACATAATGTATACTCGCGTTTGTCTCTCAAACACGAATTTACTAGAGGGAAATACTAGTACACCTTTCCTACAATCGCGCCCTCAAGCTATGAATCACTTTTGTGGCGTCAGATTGACTTAAATTATTATAAACAATTTCGTTCAAACTGCCAAATATATTTAGTTGTATATTCGTTCGTAATCTAGAACATGAATCTCTGAGAAACATTTTTTATTGGTGGACTAGCACAAATCTCATCAATATCTTTTTCATTTACGTCAAACGAGCGATTCGTCTATAGAGGGCGCGACTTCTATGCGGTATAAACTCCGTAACGCTGCGTCAGGAAAAATCACATCCATCAGCGTAAAAACCATAACATAACATGATGTTTAAAGAGGCAACGATAGTAGATTCGACGTGTTGAGAGAGAATTATGCTAAATATCTTTACTGAAACAGCTTTACTGGTTTCACTTTTCTCGACTTGTCGTTTTCCGAGTGCGTCAGTTCCCCGAGAAGAGGGCAACACCCGAAATCATTTGCATAATTGTAAAAACAACTACTTCGCCTAATGTTTGACATGTCATTACGGGCAGTAAATACATCACGATCAGGCGCGACCACGTTAGCGGAGAACCTCGGTGATAAATTGTAGAGCGTGTCGGGGCATTGTAATTGGTAGAAGATTGAGTCTTTTAAACAACGTCTCAACGTCTTGGTATGTTGAAGTGCAATAGCTGACATTGAGTAGGTGAGAACAAGCAGATGAATAGGGAGCCTGTTATCGTCCCCATAGCAACGCCGATGTCTTGATTTCTTTCATAGCATTACGCATCTATAATTGCGGCCATTTTAAAATGAGTAAATGTTACTTGCATTGATTGAACTACAGAGAACAAGCTGCTTAAACTATCAACAACGTTTTGATAATCGAAAATGTACGTAGTTACATCTAGTTACAATATTATTCCATTGTACAAATAACTAAACGACAGCTAAATTCCACATTCACGAGAATACAGATACTCGCAATGAATAAAGATACTCGCAATGTACGTAGTCCAGTCTAGAAGGAAGTTTCGCCATTTTATGTTATCTTAGCGTTGAATATGAAAGGGGAAGTCAGATGTCCACCATCAGACAAAGTTGTCAAGAATACCTTATTCGGGAACGTTAGCCGATCCCCCGAGTCCAATCTTACGTCACCCATTTGACTGTGGTAATATGAACTTCTGGTATCACTGTCAGAAGATAGCCATTTCATTACGTAACGCCGTTTTGTGCTAGGCAATGGAGAGTGGATGTTTGGTAGCTGAAGTACCTGCAATTTTCTGTTGGTCAGCCTTGCTGTTCTGCTCACGGCGTCACCAGTGGGTTTAGAATGTTGGCGGTAATGTGTGTGAATGTCCCGGTTTGTGGTTGCAGGAGATCCTTCAATCTTACACATCGGAAGGCAGTCTTTGGTCCATTTTGAAAAGAACCTACATTGGTTTGAACTCAGTCCAGGTGATATTCTTGACAACACCTTCTCATTTTTCTCACTTCTTGATGTCGGGCAGCTGGTGACGCTCCGTGGCGTCTTCTCTGACGACCTCGATAACTTTTTAGTCTGTCGGTAAATAACAGGCACCGATGTCACCTGCGATCGACCGAATACGTCGCCTTCTCTTGGCGGACAAAAACTCGTTTTGAAGTTTCCGTATTTGGTAGCTGGTCTGTCGGTGAATGTCGGAAGGACTTGAATCTCGGGGAGTAAATTCTGTTGGTCATTAAACAGAGTATTGGACCGACCAGAATTTGTTAAGTGTCCAGTCCTCGGTTTGTGGGTGACGGAGATCATGGCAACACAAGTTTCTCACCTACTGTTCAACTTGCTCAGGCACTGTTGAACTATCTAAGTACGTTCCAATCGAACCACCGCGATATGTAGAGATCTAGTAAACAATAGCAAAGCCAGCCTTTACGGGCGTGCACGCAACTCTGAAGTGAAGTACCTTGGAGTTCTTCCACAAGTAGTTCAACCCAAGGCGTATTGAACAATACCTTACACGATTGATTATATACAAGTACGCGGTTGATATGGCGAAGTCCAGTACAGCCAGTTATTGCGCCTCCCAGCTGTTTGACACCAGTAACCCGGAGAGTTAGCAAACAGCTCGAATAATGCGACACGTCATACACATAAAATAGTAGTTAAACACAAAATAAATTAATCCGGAACAGTCCAGTCTCGCCACAGTGCATAGTAATTATTAAACCATTTAAAATAGGTCAGTGTCAAATAAAGCAATACACCATTGTGAAGTCTTACATTCCGACTCATCAGACGTTGTACATGGAGGTATGTTCAGTAGATTCTTGTCATGGAGGGCGGATAACAAATATGTTATTATTGGCTGCAACTATCCAGTCTACACCTGTTGTTTGTTCTGAGATCGCACCATTCCGTCGTAAGCAGTATAAAATATACGACCACAGTACAAACACCGTCCCCACAATTGCGTTGGCGAGCTTCACTTTATGATGTCCTGCGCGATTTCTTCAATAAATGTTTAAACAGAAAGATTGATTTCCACGGTTTGCTGAGAAACACGATGCTCACTCGTCAATCCAGATTATTTTCCCAAAGCTTCGTGGCAACAGTGTGCTTGTCCGAGTAAAATCACCGCAACGACGACCACCACGAAATAGAATTGCATTGAATCACAGATAAAGGAACTGTGATTGAATGTATGAGTTGCCGGGGAAAGGTCTCGCAATGACTAAAATCACGTACGAATGTAAACAATGATCACCGAACCCACTGTTACGGTAGAACGATTCTCACTGATGTAGACGTTATAAATGACCGCCATCTATTAAAACAAACGTGCCAAACTTCAGGTGTTGTCGTACCGGCACTAGAACAGCGAAACTGTCACGTGCCCATTCCCTTTGATATGCCGACGGTTTACGTAGCGCGAGGCATCATGCTTAATATATTAAAAATATTCAAAACACAATTGCATTCACTGTGTAGGTTTCGCGGGTGAAATCACGACGAGTTTAATCAGATTAGGCGCCAGAAGTAACTGGAATTCTAACGATCCAAATAGACGTGTCCACGTGAGTGACATCTCCATATCTCTGTGAAAAACAAATTTACGAAGACTGAAAGGCTCGGATTCCAATTCCGTATATCTTGTCATCGACTGACAATAAAGTACTATTGATATGTAAATCGGAAACTCATCCTCAGGTCTAATCTGTAATCCTTCAGGCTAGGTGCGTCAACAATGGGTTTTATTACTGGTATTTTGCCAGGCTCGTTCGAGCGTGCGTTTCTATCCTTGGTTACCATTGTTGACCAAATAATCGGCGGCCTGTCCTTGCACTAATGTTTTGACATTTGCCCGAAGTTGTAGCATTTCCTAGGGGTCGCTGTTTCGGACGGCGTTGCGCTAATTTTGATGTAGTTGTGAATATGAATGGGAATAGTGTTGAGTTTTCAGTTCGTCAGGTGTATATAATTAAGTATCTTGCTGATTCTATGACACTCGCCACCCCAAGACCCCGATTTATTATGGCGATGATCGGATTCTACTAAATTAGCTGAATTCTCACTGCCATTCTCAACCAAATATAAACACAACATGATTTATTGCTATCAATATACATTCGGTATGAAACGAATGAGAACACGTCCCAAACCCCATGACAACAGTGGCTATAGACTACAAAGCGGCATTCGAACCACGATTTCGAGCGAATTATATGTACAAGTCTTTCAAATACATTGACATGGATATTTCATTGTACATCATGGATTTTACTCCGGGTATTCAAACGAAACAATCCGATACTGGATTGTTCTTCCTGAGAACTCATCATCTTCATGTACGTGACCAGCTGCGGTTGACATATCAACTTCCTGTTGAGAACTGTCACATTTTAAGGTATGCGACAAGCTGCCGATGATATATCAACTTCCTGCTGAGAACTGTCACCATCTTAAGGTACGCGACCAGCAGCCGATGACATAACTTCCTTCTGAGAACTGTCACTATATTAAGGTATGTGCCAAACTGCCAATGACATATAAACTTCCTCCTGAGTACTGTCACCATATTCAGGTACGCGACAAACTGTCAATGACATATCAACTTTCTCCTGAGTACTGTCACCATCTTAAGGTATGCGACAAACTGCCGATGACATATCAACTTCCTCCTGAGTACTGTCACCATCTTCAGGTACGCGACAAACTGCTAATGACATATCAACTCCCTCCTGAGTACTGTCACCATCTTCAGGTACGCGACAAACTGTCAATGACATATCAACTTCCTCCTGAGTACTGTCACCATGTTCAGGTATGCAACAAACTGCCGATGAAATATTAACTTCCTCCTGAGAACTGTCACCATCTTCAGGTATGCGACCATCTGCCAATGACATCACCTTCCTCCTCAAAACTGTCATCATCTGGAGGTACGTATCCAGCTGCCGATGGCATATCAACTTCCTCCTGAGAACTGTCACCATATTAAGGTACGTATCCATCTGCCGATAACATATCAATTTGCTCCTGAAAACTGTCATCATCTTAAGGTATGCGACCAGCTGCCGATGTCATATCAACTTCTTCCTGAGTACTGTCGCCATCTTCAGGTACGCGACAAACTGCCGATGACATATAAACTTCCTCCTGAGTACTGTCACCATCTTCAGGTACGCGACAAATTGCCGATGACACATAAACTTCCTCCTGAAAACTGTCACCATCTTCAGGTACGCGACAAACTGCCGATGACATATCATCTTCCTCCTGAGTACTGTCACCATCTTCAGGTACGCGACAAACTCTCAATGATATATCAATTTCCTCCTGAGAACTGTCACCATCTTCAAGTACGCGACAAACTGTCAATGACATATCAACTTCCTCCTGAGTACTTTCACCATCTTCAGGTACGCGACAAACTGCCGACGACATATAAACTTCCTCCTGAGTACTGTCACCATCTCCAGGTACGCGACAAACTGTCAATGACATATCAACTTCTTCCTGAGTACTGTCACCATCTTCAGGTACGCGACAAATTGCCGATGACATATAAACTTCCTCCTGAAAACTGTCACCATCTTCAGGTACGCGACAAACTGCCGATGACATATCAACTTCCTCCTGAGTACTGTCACCATCTTCAGGTACGCGACAAACTGTCAATGACATATCAACTTCTTCCTGAGTACTGTCACCATCTTCAGGTACGCGACAAACTGCCGATGACATATAAACTTCCTCCTTAGAACTGTCACCATCTTTAGGTACATATCCAGCTGCTGATGACATATAAACTTCCTCCTGAAATCTGTCACCATCTTAAGGTACGTATCCAACTGCTGATGACATATCAATTTTGATGTCGATGCTTTTATTGTGTTCGGGCCAATCTGATTTCTTTCTCGAAACCACTTAAATCAATATCGCTATTATCCAATTATCGGACGTTATATTATGTGATGGACCACATTTATCTGACCCCAAAAACGTCTAAAATGATTTTGAATTTCTTTTACATTGTAGCGTGAACAAGCTTTCTACCTGGACACCTAAACGAAGAATGTTTAATATTGCGGGCTGCTGAATAGAGCATTGACATTAAATTATTCAAATCCCCTGCGCGGCTCGTGTAGGTCGATCGTATAGTGGTGGGTCGGTTGTAGGAAAAATGGTAAATACTTAGATGACACGAAGTATACAGTTTGACTGTTCACTAAGAACTCTACTTTATTCACAATTAAAACTCGTACATCGATACACAACAAAGAAATACAAGGTAAATATTAATTAGTGACTGGCAAGCTGTAAGGATTAAGGTGTGCGGCCAAGGATTAAGATTACCTGAGCTTAGAATTAATTTAAACTCTGACATAAACATCGATTAACTAAGCCATGTTCGACAAACAATGTAAAATGTAAGAATGAATTCCCGACATCTTTATCAACATTATTACATTGAAACCATTACTCTGGAAAGAACTGTAAACACCGTGACCCTCGCCAACGTGTTCACGCCATTTGTATTTGTACAACATTAATGGCTAACTGACATTATGTCCCGTATTATGGGCTATTTATTTATTTATTTATTTATTTATTTATTTATTTATTTATTTATTTATTTATTTATTTATTTATTTATTTATTTATTTATTTATTTATTTATTTATTTATATTAATTTTTTTACTTTTATATCTATTTATTTTTTTATTATTTTTTATTTTATTTCCATTTCTCTAAAGAAATATACCCCACTAACCTGGGGGAGCAGGTTACAATGCATATACAAAAAGTTACAAGCGTGACTTTAATCGCCTCAATAAAATAAAGTATTATATATATATATATATATATATATATATATATATATATATATATATATATATATATATATATATATATATATCATCTATTGGAGAACTCACACTAACAAATTATATCTAATCTGAAAAGCTGTGTGTACAAATCTTGCAAGAATTTGGATGATTTCATGGTTATCCTGAGAACAAATATATGTAAGTTTACTGATAGGCGACAGGAGCTCAAATTGTGGTTCAATGCAGTTAATTCGATCAAAAAGTGGTTTTCGAATATGGTTATATGCTAGACAAACTACCAGAAAATGAGTTTCATCTTCAACAGCATCTGTACATATTTGGCAGGTTCTATTTTCCACCGGAGTTCCATAATATCTACCGGTCTCAATGTGTAACTTATGATTATAGCTTGTCTGTGTAGGGGAACACGAATGATATCCAGATAATTCTCACAATTTTTTTTTAAATTGGCGAAACGTTCGTAACCTATTTCTACTGTTTGGGGATCTACGAACATCGTCAAATATAGCATCTTTCCAACTTTATGAAATAACAATCTCTCTCTTTTTTCCAATTAACAACGTTGTTTCATCAGTAATTTGGGAGATAAACATATTCTCCCAAATAGTATGCATATTGTGATTAATTAATAATTTCTTATTGGTGTTTTCATACAACTGAAGTAATAGCGGCTGGTGGTCTGAATCATATCCATTGCACATCGTCAATCATTAATTATGGTAAACACGCCAGTAGGTGAAATCAATTAATGTTTCGCACCATATTTAGAGAAATTGAAAATTCAATTAAATAAAATCAACACAGATGGGTTACCTATTTAATTTGTTTTGCTATGGAAAATATTTTTACCGACTACCAACTGAGTCATTTTAAAAATAAATAAATAAATAAAGCCTGAATGTAAACTGGCCATAAAATATCAGACTGATACATTTCGGGAGAATTTGTTTGCTTGTTTTATTTATATATTAAAACGAGCAACCATTTCAAACCCAACACTGGTGTTGTGCGTTGTTAACTTTGTTAAATATTCAATTTAGAAAGCAAAGAGTTTTTTATGAATAACATTGTTCAGCCATATTTATTAGACTAGAAATCTACATGATATGATATGATATGATATGATATGATATGATATGATATGATATGATATGATATGATATATATGATATGATATGATATGATATGATATGATATGATATGATATGATATGATATGATATGATATGATATGATATGATATGATGGTTTATTACCCATATTAGTCGTGAAAATTACAATTCTGAAATAGGAAAAAAATAAATATATTTACAGGTAAAAGGAATTTAAAATAGGATTAGGAAGCTAATCTTGTCAAATTCGTTTAAACATAAATAAATATACAATATTTTAAATATTTGGCGCTAAACTGAATAAGTAAATCAAAAAAAAAACACATAACGGGTGAATGCACAAAACCCAACATAGATGCACAATTGTTATCAATACACCACACTCGAAACCATCTGAGTTATCATAAACCACACATTAAACCATATACAGTCTGTGACTCCATCAAACCGCACTATACACACGTTCCGTGCCTCTAGGAAAACTTTCATATTTACCTCATGTAAAACCCAGTATTTAAATTCAGGTGAGCCATTTTTAAAACAGCACCACACACACGAGTTGTACGTTTTGAGCGAAGGGGTAAAAAACTTGTTTTTTTCTGTCCTTCCTGAACTCTTCTTTGAAGCCCCGGTGATGTTCCGTGTAATATTAGTTATCCATGAGTGACTATAAACAGCGCGGAATGTGGCCATTGTACGCCGTGCGTTGGGGGTCACCAGAGGGCGATCGTCCTTTCATTTTGTGAACCGAGCGGAGCTAAACTCGTTTTCGTTGAAAGCTTTGATCTACAAAAGGTCAGCTTTGTCTCGAAGGATTACGATGAAAAAATATACCAATTAAGTTGATCCAAAATCAAGTTTATTGAAAACACAATAGCACGGGTCATTTAGCTGTAGCAAGGGTATATAGAACCATGAATGTATGCCTCAAAGTTGGAGTTACCGTTAGGCGACTAAGGGGCGCAGAGTGGCAATTAATCCCAAGCTAAGTATATAACAAGTCAGCTGTGGAGAAAATTATACGCTTAATGGTGAGTTAATAATTTAATGAAGAGTTGCCAATGGCGGTGTAACTTTATTAATCTCATAAGTCCGTGTAACTTTATTAATCACGTAAGTCCGTGTAACTTTATTAATCTCATAAGTCCGTGTAACTTTATTAATTACATAAGTCCGTGTAACTTTATTAATCACATAAGTCCGTGTAACTTTATTAATCACATAAGTCCGTGTACCTTTATTAATCTCATTAGTCCGTGTAACTTGATTAATCACAAAAGTCCGTGTAACTTTATTAATCACATAAGTCCGTGTAACTTTTTTAATCACAAAAGTCCGTGTAACGTTATTAATCTCATAATTCCGTGTAACATGATTAATCTCATAAGGCAGTGTACGTTGACGGAAAGAGTTCCTTAATGCCCCCACTCCTAACCTGAACCTGAACCCTAATACTCCAACCCCAGTGTATGCGCCTTCAGATAACTATACGTGTCCTGAAGACAAATGGGGGAGGAGCACTGGAGAATTAGGGTTAGAATTATACTCATGGGTGAGGGACCATAAAGAATTCTTACCACGTTCAAATCCGAAGAAAATTTACGAAACTGTTAGTGGTAATCGACAAGGTTACTGATAAAGACATGGTTACTGGTAATCGACAAGGTTACTGGTAATGACATAATTACTGGTAATCGCCAAGGTTACTGATAATGACATGGTTACTGGTAATCGACAAGGTTACTGGTAATCGACAAGGTTACTGGTAATGGCATGGTTACTGGTAATCGACAAGGTTACTGGTAATTGACAAGGTTACTGGTAATGGCATGGTAACTGGTAATGGCATGGTTCCTGGTAATCGACAAGGTTACTGGTAATTGACAAGGTTACTTATAATGACATGGTTACTGGTAATCGACAAGGTTACTGATAATGACACGATTAGTGGTAATCGACAAGGTTACTGATAATGACATGGTTACTGGTAATCAACAATGTTACTTGTAATGACATGGTTACTGGTAATCGACAAGGTTACTGGTAATCGACAAGGTTACTGGTAATGGCATGGTTACTGATAATGGCATGGTTACTGGTAATCGACAAGGTTACTGGTAATCGACAAGGTTACTGATAATGACATAGTTACTGGTAATCGACAAGGTTGATGATAATGACACGATTAGTGATATTCGACAATGTTACTGATAATGACATGGTTAACGGTAATCGACAAGGTCACTGGTAATGACACGATTACTGGTAACCGACACGGTTACTGGTAATGGCATGGTTACTGGTAATCGACAAGGTTACTGGTAATTGCATGGTTACTGGTAATGACATGGTTACTGGTAATGGCATGGTTACTGGTAATCGACAAGGTTACTGGTAATGACGCGATTACTGGTAACCGACAAGGTTACTGGTAATGACGTGATTACTGGTAACCGACAAGACAAGACATGACATCGATACGACAAGGTTAATTTCTAGTTATAGCAAGATTAATGTCGAGATTACTAGTAATGACAGGGTTAATGACTAGATTGTTAACATTGATTGGGCAATGACGATATCACAAGTAATAACCGAGTTAATGATGAGATTACTAGTTAATGCTTAACAGGTTACTTATAATGTCGGGATTACCGGTATTAGCAGGTTTAACTGTAATGTCTGGATAGTTACTGACAATGGCAGTATACTGGTATTAACAGGTCACTCGTATTGGTAGAATTCTTGCTAATGACAGGCTTATTGGCAACGACAAGGGTACTGGTAACGACAGTATCTCGGGTAGTGCCATACTGTAAAATACTTCATTTTGCTTGAA